GGACTCCTTTTACATGATCTGATCTGTTCCCAAGAGTATTTGCTCTGTGTGTATGTGTTAGGGGTCAGGGAAGTAGGATGGACACAGTGTCTTGAACAGGGATGGATACATGGCTCTGGTATTCGAACATTCATCTTACCCTGACCCACACCCATCACTTCTCTTCAAACATAATTTTCTGGCAAGATAAGAACTTGTATCTCAGTTCTTTCCTATGCTCTGAACTCCAGAATGAGCTGAACCTTCCTGACTTCTCCACCTGGATTTCTGAGAAGCATCTAAAACCTAATGTGTCTATATCTTCCTGGCAGATCCAGAAGAAAATCAGCCAGAAAGAAATAATTGTAGATTTCTGAGGAAACAATCAAAACAAGGTTAAAAACCTTTTTATCACTTTGCACAAGCAATATTACTTATTAACTTTTTAAAAAATAAATTATTTTCTAGGTGTAGTATTGTACACCTTTAGAAGCAAAGGCAGGTGGATCTCTGTGAGTTACAGGCTAGTCTGGCCTATATACTAAGCTCTAGGACAGCCACGGCTATACACACACACACAAACCCTAAAACACAAAAACAAAACCCAACATCTCTACCTCTCCCACCACCAAAAAAAAAAAAAAAGCAATCTTTTGGGCTTTCATCAGCTCCCTACCCTAATTCCATTCCTGGAAGTCCTTTCCTATTTAGTTATTTAATATTTTTTAGATTTACTTATTTATATATTTTATGTATAAGTGCTCTATCTGCATGTGCACCTGCATAGCAAAAGACAGCACTGGATCCCATTATAGACAGTTGTGAGTAACCCTGTAGGTGCAGCCAGTGCTCTGAACCACTGAGCCATCTCTCCAACCCTCCCATCTATTTATTTATTCATTTATTATTTGTGTATGAGTGTTTTGCCTCAATATATATGTGCTATGTATATAACTGTGAGGTCAGAAGAGTGGGTCTGAATCCTTGGAACTGCAGTTATGGATGGTTGTGAGCCACCACGTGGGTGCTGGGAACTGAATCTAGATCTGCTGCAAGAATAAGTATCCTTAGCCAGGCAGTGGTGGCACACGCCTTTAATCCCAGCACTCGGGAGGCAGGCGGATCTCTGTGAGTTCGAGGCCAGCCTGGTCTACAAGAGCTAGTTCCAGGACCGGAACCAAAAGCTACGGAGAAACCCTGTCTCGAAAATTCAAAAAAAAAAAAAAAAAAAAAAGAATAAGTATTCTTAGTCACTGGGTTATCTCTCCAGCCCTTCCCCCTTTAAAGTAAGCTGTCTATTTCTAATGTCTAAGTCAAAAAGCATTACTTTTTCTCTACCTTCTCCTGGCAACTGCTGGTATTTTTACCTAACCTATACTATGTTTTTTTCTTAAACATTAATAAAAAAAAAACTGTCCTTGAGTTTCTAGAATACAAAACAGAGAAATAACAGTCTTTTCTCGTGTGTGTGTGTGTGTGTGTGTTGCTTGAGAATCAACCCCGGCCTTTCTCCTTGCTGGGAAAGGCCTCTGTCACTAAACTATAACCTCCACGCCTTTTTTCCCTTTCTGCTGCCACCACTGATTCAAAAACAGTCTGCTTAGATTTTTCCCTCCTGACTGGTTTTCCTGCCTCTACTCTTAACCTTATTTATGGCTCAGTCACTCAACATCCACCTTAAAATTATACATTATATAATGTTGTTTCCTTGTGCAAACATTCCAATGGTATAACTTCACTTAAAAGAAAAGTAAATGTCTTGCCAGGGTCTACATACACCTACTTCTTTGACCTTACTTTAAATAACCTTCTTCTTAACTGGCCTTACATATTCAGTCACTTATAAGCATTTCTATTTTTTATTTGTTTGTTTTTGTTTTATGAGATAGGATGCCTCTATGTAGTCCTGGCTGTCCTGGAACTTGTTATATAGACCAGGCTGACCTCAAGCTCACAGAGGTTGTCTTCCTAACTCTGCTTCCTAGTGTGGGGATTAAAAGATGCACTACTGCACCTGGCTCTACAAAACATTTCTTATGAACACAATTTAGGTCAGACATCTAGCTAGATATTGAGTTCAACAAAGATGCAGCTGCCTTTGAAAAGTGAGAAGAACAGAAATGTGAACAAGTAAATCACATTTTTAGAATTAAGTATTTTGCAGAGTTAAAGGCAATGTAGGGTATAAAAGACAAGGCAAAATTGTGCCGCAGAAACCATTGAAGGCTTCACTAGAGAAGGCACAATACTGTACACATTTGAAAGGTGCCTAGTTTTGAGTAAAGGTGGGATCTATGGTCTAGGAATAGAAGTAAACTCATAGGTCCTTACAGGCTCTTAAATTTCCTTGAAAAATTTAGAGTAGTCAAGCATTCAAAACAGGCAGTTTTATCAACAACTAGTGCAGAGCAGAAAAAAATGTCCTTGTTGGGTCATTACAGAGAACAGAAATGGACATTTAGAGCAACAGTCCATTTGTTCATCTAAGGACAATGTTTTAGATGTTCATTCCATATAAGAAACTATTCAAAGAGAACAGCAAACAAAACTGACAAATCTCTGTACTCATGGGGCTGCATTTCAGTGCAGGAGTCAGACAATAAACAAACACATAAGACGATGGTACAGACAGGAGCTATGATGAGAAGTAACAAGAAGCAGGGGGAGCTGGATCTGCTTCTAAGATGCCAGGGAAGATCCTTCTGAAGAAAGAAACTTTAAGCAGAAGCTGGGGTGACACAGTTTAGGGGAAGGTATTACCTCAGTTATTCAACTTTACAGATTAGGAAAATACATTTCCAGACTGCTGACTTTACCAAACTGACCCTTCACTGAAGTGATGATTAACTGACCCTTACTATTTATTTTACCTTGATTACTTCACCATGTATAATTGGTCCCATGATTAGGCAGGTTAAGATTCAGACTATATATAATTTCTTAACTGATCATTAACTAACTATGGGTTTAAATATTAACCAAAGGTCTGCTCTTTCCCTTGTTCATCTGACCTCTTTTACATTTCTCCTTGAGTCTCAGCTGGATTTTATCTATTCATAACACTAAATGTAGTACCTCAAATATAATGGCTCATCCAAATGACTAAGACAGCATACAGGCAAAAGCTTTAGTTCTTAGTTCTGCTTATTGTATTTCCGGAGTTAACACACTGGGGACTGGGGAAACACTGATGATAGCTTCCATGTTTAGAAGAGATTTATTCAGGCTGGTTGTGGTGGGACTTGCCTGTGATCCTAATACTTGGGAAATGGAGGAAGAACAATCATTGAGTTCAAGGTTATCCTTGGCTATCTATTTAGAAAGTTCAAAGCCAGCATGAGCTACAATGAGACCTGTCTCAAAAACAAATTATACTCTCTTAAGAATAAGAACTGATGGGGGTAGATGTGGGTGAATATCTTTGAATCTGAGAGAAAATCTGATCTACAAAGCAAGTTCCATGACAATCCCTGCCCCCCCCAAAAAAATACAAAATTAAAAAAAATAAAATAAAGTATTCCGATCATGTAATAATCATTATACCTTTAAAAAAAAGAATAAGAACTGATATTGGTAGAAAGCTTGCCTGGTATGTGTGGAACTCTGGACTCAACTCCCAGCAACATATCACACAAAAGAATAAGGAAAAGAGTATTAAAGCCAAGTGTGGTTTTTGGAACATGCATGTAACCCCAGCACTCAGTAGGTAAAGGCAAGAGGATCATGCATTCAAGGCTAGCCTAGTCTACAAAGTGAGATTCTTTCTTTAAAAAAAGGGGGGGGAGATCTAGTGGAGCTCAGTTGGTAGAGTACATGAGACCTTGGGTTCTATCCCCAGCACATACAAGTCTAGAAGGGTGTAATATTACTGTATTCTCAGCATTCAGGTAAAAGATGGAAGGTCAGAAATATAAGGTCATCCTCAGCTACACAGTGAGTTCTGAGACACAAGAGACCCTGCCTTCAGGCTAGAGAGAGATGACTCAGTAGGAAAGGCATTTGATCCCAGCACCCATGTGGTGGGAAAAGAGACGAGAACTGATTCCTGCAAGTTGTCCCACGTTCTTGTTGTGGTATGAAATAACCCCTCTCCTAAAATACATGCACAAACAATTCTCTCTCTCTCTCTCTCTCTCTCTCTCTCTCTCTCTCTCTCTCTCTCTCTCTCTCACACACACACACACACACACACACAGAGGCAGCAAGCAAATAAAAAAGTAGTAGAGCACTTGCCAAACATGAAGAGGGCCTGGGGTCTAATAACAACAAAAGGAAGTGATAAAATCTTTTTAAAATTATATATTTATTATGTGTGTACACACATATGCATGCTCACACAAAGAGGTGAGAACAACTTTTGTGAGACAGTTTTATCATTCCATCGTGTGTGTTCCAGAGACTGAACTCAGGCTGTTGGCTTGGCAGCAGGTGCCGTTACCCACTGAGCCATCTCTCCATCATATCACAAATGAAATTATCAAATCTATCTTTGAAGGTCTATACATGGAATTTTTAAGAAAATGTATCTATCTTCAGAGGAAGATGGTAGAGTTCCTTAGGGCACCTTTAATCACAGGAATTGATTATCAAGTAGGAACTACAAAGCAAGATTCAACTAGATTGTGGTTTTGACAGCATACCATAGATTCCGGGTTAGTAAAAAGTTAACTGGTAGAGATCTGTATCAGGGAAAAAAAAGAGAGAGAGTAGTTTCTCTCTACTGCATACAAAGACAGCTTAAAGAGAAACTCCTTGCCTGGTGTGGGCAGTGCATGCCTTTGATTCTAGCAAAGGCAAGGCAGGCAGATCTCTGAGTTCGTGGCCTGTCTGGCTGACGGAGTTCCAGGACATCCAAGGCTCCACAGAGAAAAAAAAAAAACTGTCTCAAAGAAAGAAAAAAAGACTTCCCTCACCCTTTTCTTGGAGACAGGAGTTCTGCATGCCCAGCAGCACTCACTACATAGCCTAAGGTGGCTCGAGCATACAGCAGTAAGAACTTCTCTTTATTTTGGTTCTCATACCTGAGAGATGTGACTAAAACACTGCAAAGCTGTCTCCACGGGGCTTTTGAAGAACTTCTTCTCTTGAGGTTTTAACTATGAAGAGAGAAAGATACACAGTGAGAATATTCACAACAAAATGAAAGAAAATACTGACCCTGGAACAAAACAACTCAATGTTTTACAACTACTATCTTCAAATTTGTTTCTTCTTTTTGTTTTGAGCAGTTCATCATCTGTGTCTATTCTTCCTACTGGCCAGGGACTGGATGAGGCAGTTTGTGATGAAAGTGAAGACTTACATTATCAGAAAGAGCCAGATGCTTGCAACGACTTCCACAAACAGCACATTTTTCTAAGAGAAAAAACGGAAAAATATTTGCTCTCAAAAGCAGGAGGTAGGATTTTCCTAAAGTATGTGGTAACTGTCAAGTAGGCTATCAAGAGAAGAAAACAGGCTCTTAACTAAATTTTGATTATCATTAAGATATTAACTTAACCTGTTCTCTAAATCAACATTTCCAAACAAACGTGTTGAAGTATGAGGCTCTGCGCTGTGCTTGTCTCCCTTTTTTTTCTTTGTTTTTGAAACAAGGTGTCATAAATGTAGCCCAGGCTGGCCCTGAACTTGCAGCAAGCCTCCTGTCTCAGTCTCCTGAATATTGAGACTACTACACTTACTGGTAGATCTACTGTGTCAACAGAAGTACTGGAATACATTTGCATATGCTCTGGGATAAATGTAAGAGTACCAATGAGTTTCACTGTAGGTGACTTTGTAAAAAAGATTTATTGTGAATGTTTTGCCTACATGTATGTCTGTGTACTGTGTGCATGTCTGGTGCCTGAGGAAACCAGAAGAGGTGTCATATCCTCTGGAACTAGAGTTACAAACAGTTGTGAGTCACCATGTGGGTGCAGGATCCTCCAGAAGAGCAGCCAGGGCTCTTAATCACTGAGCCACCTTTTCAGCTGACAACTCTTTTTAAAATCTCTCTACCTGACAGTGGGCACACCCTGGGCACTGTAAGAGGCTGGTTCCTGAGTTATCCCACCCAGCTGTCACCTTGCTAATATTCCTAGGTCTTGCTCTAAAACTCTCCTACTCTTCAATTAATGCATCTGAAAGAAGCAAAGTGTAAAATTTCTAAGCTTTCCTTATAAAATGCAATCTAACCAGGTGCAGATGATTAAAATAAACGCTACAGGATTGGAGATGAGGCTCAGTGATAGAGTTCTTGTTTACCGTGCATAAGACCCTGGGCTCATCCATTAAGAAAAAAAAAAAAAAAGATAAATGCCATGTCAGGAAAAAGCATTACATGGCTTTATGCTTCAGAGACAATCACTCCAAAGTGAGCTGCTGTCACCATAGTGAGGTCTCATTGCACTGGCAGATATCTCAGAAGGGTCATGAGGGTTACACATGGAAAAAGTTCTCCAGAGACTATTTAACCTGACTTGTCTTTCCTTGGGGAATAAAGTTGCTTTCCTAGTCTTCCCTCCATGTTGTTCTCAGTATGAGTTAGTAAGTGAAAAACATTCTACTTAAAAGAAAAACAACCTGTACAGCTCTCTAGAACCAACAGGGTAACAGTTTAGGACTCTTACCCTGGTGGACAGAAATTTCTATTGTTTTCTACTGCCTACCCCTTTAGCTCCCTCTTTCACCATTTTCACCTTTCTCTGTATAATCTCAACTCTGTGGAAGCATCTGTGCTGCAGTTTAATGGCATCATATGTCGTTACACATTATACTGTTGCAATTTTTAAAGATGTGTTTTTATTTTACATCTATGAAGAATTTGCTTGTGTGTATGGATGTGTGCCACACGTGGTGTGTGCCTAATGCCTGTGGAGGCCAGAAAAGGGTGTCAGATCCCATACAAGTAGTTACAGATGATTGTGACACCATGTGGTTGCTGGGAATTGAACTCAGGACCTTTGGAAAAGCAGGCAATGCTCTTAACCTCTGAGCCATCTATCCAAACCCCACTGTTTTAAATTCAAATGATCTTTGCAAAACAGCAAACTCCAGTTTATTGTTCAAAACCCTATTGCAGCAGAATGTCTTCTATTTGTCCTTGATCAAAGCATCCTGTCCTAAGTAGGGTAAATTGTCTCTTCTGAAATTTTGATAATTTATAGGCTTCTTTTGTTACTGTTATTTTTCTCAGACAGGATCTGTATGTAGCCAGACAGGTCTTTAACTCCTCTGTTCAAGTAAGCCACCCTCCTGAGCCTCCCCAGTAGCTATAGTAATATACCATCATGTCAGCTCCCCCAGCCCTCCCAAGTGTACTGTGGGAAAGTGATTTTATGCTCTGTAACTTTGTCACTTGTATTGGTTTAATAAAATGCAGGCAGGAAGTACAGGCTGGGTGACCATAACAGGAGAATTCCAACATTTGGGAGGCAGAGGCAAGCAGATCTCTGTGAGTTCAAGGACAGCCTCATCTACAGAATAAGTTCCAGGACAGCCAAAGATACACAGAGAAACCCAGTCTCAAAAAACCAAAAATTAAAAAAAATAAAAGAAATAGAGTTTAAAATAAAGCCATGTAAAGATGGGAAATACACGAAGAATCTGGATACTGCATGTTATTGTGTTGTCTTTCAGTTGTTTGATGGTTGAGAAAGGAGCAACAACTACTAAGACATTTGATTATAAATGCTGCTGAATTAATCCAACCTATATATTTTGAAAATGCTTTGGCTTCAAAATTTAAGTCAAAAGATATGTTACTTTGGAGAAGAGGCTTTGCTTTTCTTTCCACAGGAAATGGGAGGCTGTGGATTCATTCTGGGTTAAGAGAAATCAGAGAAGATCTCCTGAAAAATCTCCAATACGAGTGGATGGCCCAGATGATCCAACATTTCAAAGGAACTCTGTTGGAGTTTTCTCTGAGTTCTATATACAGAACAGCCTCAAGATTGCTGGCTGAGATGATCAAGCCTCACAGAAAATTCCAGTCAGGATTTGACCATAATCCTAAATTTTCTTTAGGTCCCCAAAAGGTTATCAGCACCCCCAATCAGCAGGAAGTATCCTAGAAAACTACGCCCACATTCCCCCAAAAAATGGATTTTTGGGGGCTGAAGAGATGGCTCAGCGGTTAAGAGCACTGACTGCTCTTCCAGAGGACCCAGGTTCAATTCCCAGCACCCACATGGCAGCTCACAACTGTCTGAAGATCCAGTTTCAGGGAATCTGACACCTTCACACCAATGCACATAAAATAAAGTTAAATAAACTATAAGAAATATTTTTTAAAAATGGATTATGGATGTTTATCTTTGTTTAGAGTGTAGGTTACAAGTTGTTATGGATAATAAACAGGCAAAAAGCTAAATAAAAAAGATTAGATTCAGAGTTCTTGTTTTGAAAAGTAAAAAAGGGGAAGTACTATGGGACAATGGTCTTATTCGTAAGATCTGCCATTTTATTGGTTTTATAAAATGCTGATTGGCCAGTAGTCAGGCAGGAAGTACAAGCAGGGTGACCAGAACAGGAGAATTCTGGAAAGAGGAAAGGCTCAGCCTGCAGTCAAGTCATCCAGACACAGAGAAAGCAAGATGAGAATGCCTCACCGATAAAAGGTACCAAACCATGTGGCTAACACAGACAAGAATTATGGGGTAATGTAAGATGTAAGAGTTAGTTAATAAGAAGCTTGAACTAATAGGCCCACCAGTTTATAGTTAATGTAGGCTTGAGTGTGTTTCTTTGGGAGTGAATGGCTGCAAGACTGGGTGGGAAAACCTCTGTCAACTAAAACAAAATAGTTAGGATTAGGGGTGTAGCTTAGTGATTTTTACAGTCTTCCAGAGGTCCTGAGTTCATTTTCCAACACTCTAAAACAAAGTGTCCTTTCTTTAAGACAGGGTCTCCATTTTTAGCTCTGGCAGTGGACTGTTAAATCAGGCTGGCCTCAAACTCAAAGATCTGCCTGACTTTGCCTCCCCAGTGCTGGGATTAAAAGGCATGTGCCACCATGCTCCACCTGGTCTTCAAGTTTCCTTTCTAAAACTTGATAGTTATGAAAAGTTGGCAATCATTTATTCTCTGAAATAATTTCCTCATTTGCAAAATAGTGGTACCAGTAATTATTACCAAGGACTGTGGTGAAGATTATATAAAACTAGTACTAGTGGCTGGGTATGGTGGTGTATGCCTGAAATCCCAACACTTGGGGGGGCTGAGACAGGAAGACTGTGAGTTCAAGAACAGGCAAGGCTACATAGTAAGAGCTTGACTCAAAAACAATAAGAAAACCAAAAACTATTTTAAAAATCTGTTAATTGAAAATAAACATTGTAATTTATTTTTTAAATTGTATGGGATCTTGGGATGTAGCTTTCTGATAGAGCATTTGCCTAGCATGTACAAAGTCCTAGGCTCTATATTCAGCACTGCCAAATAAAGAAATACATAGGAAACTGTTCATTAAACTCCAGTTTTAGCACCACTGTTCTCATCCATTACGGCCCTTCCTGACACAACTAGGAACACTGAGGACCAACACATTGGCTATATCCCTTAGCTTCACTCTTACTAATGGAGTCCTTTAACTCCAAAATGGACAGCTGCCTACAATATTTACATTATCACCGATGCCTACTAAGTAGTTTTTTTTGCTACATCACACAGAGAAATGGTTACTCATATCTAAGTTAAAAAACATTTTGGGATAAATTGAAGTCACTCACCCAGAGTCATACACTTTTTACAAAAAATATGGCCACAGCTGGTAACAAAGAAATGGGCCCCATCCTTTCGGAAACACTGGTTGCAATGAAACCAATCCATTCTGGATCAGAGAAAGAGAAAGAATAAGAAAAATGTGGAATATAATATAGCTGTTCAAAATTGACGTAACACTGTTTGTTTAATTTTTTCTATGTGTTTGGGTTTTTTTTTTTTTTTTTTGAGACAGGGTTTCTCTGTAGCTTTGGAGCCTGTCCTGGAACTGGTTCTTGTAGACCAGGCTGGCCTCGAACTCACAGAGATCCTCCTGCCTCTGCCTCCCGAGTGCTGGGATTAAAGGTGTGTGCCACCACTGCCTAACCTGCTTATCTTTTGGTAGTTTACTGGATGTGGGAACATATTTGTGGGCATTCCATTTGTCTGTAGGGATATACATACAACATGAGAAAAGAAGTCAGCAAAATACATTCAAGAGCATGTGTTTTTATGTGTGTAAGAATAGTAGAAAAGTCTGGGGCTGGAGAGATGGCTCAGAATTTAGGAGCACTGGCTGCTCCTCCAGAGGACCCAGGCTCAATTCCCAGCACCGACATGGAAGTTCACAATTGTCTATAACTCCAGTTCCAGGGATTCTGACACCCTCACACAGACACACATGCAGGTACACTAATGCAGATAAAATAAAAAGAAGTAAAATCAATAAAAACAAACAAAGAATAGTAGGAAAGTCATAGAAAAACAGAAACCAGGCCTTTCTTTTCTTGGACTAGTAAGTTGTATTTGTATTTGTTTGCTTTCTAAATTTTCAAGCTGAACTCATATTCTAATTTGTAATTATAAACACAATCTTTTAAAATGAAAACATACAGCCGGGCAGAGTTGGTGCATGCCTTTAATCCCAGCACTCGGGAGGCAGAGGCAGGCGGATCTCTGTGAATTCGAGGCCAGCCTGGTCTACAAGAGCCAGTTACACGATGGGCACTAAAGCCACAGAGAAACCTTGGCTCAAAAAAAAAAAAGAAGAGAAAAGAAAGAAAGAAAGAAAGAAAGAAAGAAAGAAAGAAAGAAAGAAGAAAGACATGCCACCATATTTGTGTGGTGCTGTACAAGTACTCGACGACCACTGGGCCCCAGGTCCAGGGCTCAGAGGTTAAGTTTCTTGCAATAGTGCAGAGAAAGGAGCCAACAGAGGGTAGTGGAGCAGAAAGATCACACATTAGACACTTGGACACATTTTATATAAGGGAAACAGTGGAGTGATCATAGTCTCAGCTTATCCACAGCTTCTACTCTGCAGAAACCCACCACAGGTCTGGAAGGTGTAAAGTCCAGTCATGTTTTGACCAGATTTATCTTCTTCTTTTTTTCTCAGATGACATACATTGATTACAACTAAAACTAGTTTGTCTAAAGTTCCATCTTTACTGGCAGTCTTGCAATTAGAACCCAAGTCTCCCGACTCTGTGAAACACTCATGTTCCTACATATAAGAGCCTTTGAAGCTGGGTGGTGGTGGCGCATGCCTTTAATTCCAGCACTTGGGATTGTATGATTCTGTTTTTTTCTGACAACAGCAATTTTTGTTTTCTTTTGCAAGACAGGGTTCCTCTGTATAGCTCTGGCTGTCCTGGAACTCTGTAGACTAGGCTGGCCTCAAACTCAGAGATTCACCTGCCTGTCTCCTGAGCACTAGTTTTAAAGGCACGCCCGGTAGCAACAGCAATTTTGGTATAATTTAAGTATATAACCAAATAAAATGGTTATGTGGGACTTTTAAAAAAGAGTATTTATTTGGTAGGTGGAGCAAACATGTGCCACAGGCAAGTATGGGGGCTACAGGATAACTTTTGGGAGGTTCCTTCTTCTACCAAAACGATTCTGGGAATCATGAGCGCCACATAAATGGCAACCACCTTTACCCTGGAGCCATCTTTTTAGACCACTTTGTGAGATTTATTATTTTATTTTATTTTTTCCGAGACAGGGTTTCTCTGTGGCTTTGGAGCCTGTCCTGGAACTAGCTCTGTAGACCAGGCTGGTCTTGAACTCACAGAGATCCACCTGCCTCTGCCTCCCGAGTGCTGGGATTAAAGGCGTGTGCCACCATCGCCCGGCTTGTTTGTTTTTCAAGACAGGGTTTTTCTGTGTAGCCCTGGCTGTCCTGGAACTCGCTTTACAGATTAGGCCGTAGTTTTTGCTTTTTTTTTTTTTTAAATGAAGAAACTGACATTTGAAAAATAAAGCAGTGAGCTATAAAGAACACAGCAAAATATGTTGAATATGATTGTTATTTAATAATATTTATTAACTTGATCCTTTAAATTGAAAAAACAAAACAAGTTACTATTTCCCTCCCACAATCCTTTTCTCTCAACAATTCTTCATTTTTAGAGTTCCAGTTTACTTAGAGGCTTACTGAGTGAATGAAGGGTACTTTGCACCTTAAAAATTCTGCCACTTACCCAGAGAGGTAACACACACATTTAGTTCCAGAACTCAGGAGGCAGAAGCAAGCTGACCTCTGTGAGTTCAAGGCCAGTCACAGAGTGAATACACGTCTTTAAAAAAAAAAGCCTGCCACTTAAAATTTATAATCGCCAGGCAGTGGTGGAGCACACCTTTAATTCTAGCACTTTGGGAGGCAGGGGCGGGTGGATCTCTTGAGTTCGAGGCCAGCCTGGTCTACAAGAGCTAGTTCCAGGACAGGCTCCAGAGCTACAGAGAAACCCTGTCTCGAACCCCGCCCCCCAAAAATATTTTATGATCGCAAAATTTTAAAAAGTACTGAAGGCAGGTGAGATGGTACAGGGGGTAATGGTGCTGAGGGTTAAGCCTGGTCACTTGGGTTTCATACCTGAGACCCACAGGCTGCCTTTTGTCCCCCACACACGTCACTCTCATAACCACGTCCCCACCCTGCCACACAGTAAATGTAAAATTTTCTTTAATTTATTAACTAGTAGTGGGAGGTGGTACATGTCTTAATCCCAGTACTCAGGAGGCAGAGGCAGGCAGCCTCGGTGAGTTCGAGGCCAGCGAGTTCCTGGACACCCGAGGCTATGCAGTGTGGAACTGTCTAAAAAAACAAAACAAAACAAAACAAAAACAAACAGGGGTGACTAAGCCGTTGCCACAGCACCAGGCTGGGCTCCGGCAACTTCGCGGGGTGCTAAGTGGCGCCGACTGACTGGGGCAGGGCCCACGCGAGGCCCAGCGGCCTCCAGCCCGGCTCTCCCGGGCTCGCGTCCCTACCAGCTCGGGATCCCGCGCTTCAGCTCTCAGACCATCCGGTTCTCTCACGAGGCGCTGGAAACGGCGGGAAAACAAACAGCCGCCACCAGCGCAGCTTCCGGCACGAGGCTGCCAAGCCCGAACCAGCGCACGCCGGCCCGAACCAGCGCACGATGTGGGCGGGGCCTGGCGGGGCGCCGAGTCCCACCGCCCCCCTCCCACCGCCCCGCGCAGCCGCAGAAGCGCCACGGAGCCCTAGAAAGGTGGGGCCTACGAAGGCCAGAGAAGCCAAGGAGGGCTTCGAAGTAATCCGGTGTTACTGCGGAAGCTGGGCGGTGAAAATGAGCCCATTAATGTCCCAGCAAAATGATCCCAAAACCAAAGAAAACTGAGTCACAAAGAAAGTTTGACATGATCTAAAAAGAAATTAAAATAGTGGGTGTATTACAAGTACAGCATAAATCAGAAATAAGAAAAACTAAAGTTACATGGATAGAGGCAGATTGGCTATGAACTCAGAACTACCAGAGCTCCAGAAAAAAAAAGTTTAGCTTTTTTGGTTAAATAATTGAACTCAGCATTGTGGCTGCATGCCTGTAATTCCTGCACCTTCCCAGGGTGAGACTGGGAGATCGAGAGTTCAGAGTCATCCTCAGCTCAAGTCCAGCTCCAGCCTGAGACACTTAAGGTTCTACCCCAGAAAGAAAAGAAAAAGGGAGTGGGGAATAAATGGAGATGAGAAGAGAAGAAAACACTGAAAAGAAAGGAAAGAGAATAACCGTTTCCACTGTGCTGGTTGTCCGTTCTTAGGTCAGTGTGGTCTAGATAGCAAGTTTCAGAATATCATGGGCTACAGCAAAACTCTTAAAAAAAAAATTAAAACAAACAACAGAACAAGAAATCAGAAAAAAAAAAATCAGTGTCCTATGTGGTGGGAAACCAGCCTCACTTAAATGTTAAAATATAGAGCACCCGTAATTTTAGAAATATGTTATTGATACCTATTGATGCCTACCAATAAATGTACAGAAGCAAGGCAGTGCTAGTACTCACCTTTAATCCCAACACTGAAGGCTTGGGGGGAAGGGGGGGGAGAACAGGCGAACAGTTCGACACCAGCCTGGTCTACATAGGGAGTTCCTGGACAGCCAGGACTCCACAGAGAAACCCTGTCTTGAAAACAGAAAACAAACATACAGAAAATAGACTGGGGTTGTAGAACACTTGAGTTCGGTTTTCAGTGGCCCCCTACACACAAACAAGAAATAGGAGGGAAAGCAGAAGCGCTAAGGACATTTGGAAAAATTAAGTTAGGAGTAGGAGGGAATTATGGTGGGAAGGGAAGATGAAATTGTTAATAAATTGAGATAGGTCACTGGACAGCCGTTTGGAGGAATTGGGCCTGTTGGGTGTGGTGGCTCACACCTGCAAAGTCTGCATTTGGGAAGTTAGTCTGGGACATATGGTAAATTCCAGGCTAGCCTGGACTACAGCGCATAACCCTGTCTTAAAAAATATTTCTATCTTATTTTTGTTTTCTTTCTTTCTTTTTTCAGATAGGGTCTTGGCTGTCCTGAAAATCATTATGTAGACCAGGATAAAGAGCTGCCTCTCTCTGCCTCCCAAGGGCTGGCATTAACGGCTGTACCACCATGCCTGGCTTAAGTATATTTCTTGCATTGTTTATCAGGATAAATTTTAAATTGTTCAAAAATGTAAGTGCAAAAATGAAGAGTAATTATAACCCAGGAAAGGGGGAAATATTAATAGTAAATAAAAATCTAAATAAATAAAAGATTGATGAATTTGACTCTTAAAAATCCTTTTAGCGCTGGGGATAGAGCTGGTGGTTTAGTGCTTGCTTAGCATGC